GAGTAGGTACCACCAGCATGGATTGTGAGGTAGCAAAACAAATGTTACCCCAAATTCAAAGACCCGGATCCTGCTTTTGGCTCAGCTAGTGATACAGTCAAGATGATTATTTTTTTCCCAGCCTCAGTTTCTTAGTAAAATTAGTAAGCCAGAGAGGCTTAGTGAGGCTCAAGTGGGATCGTTGATACAAAACCAAGTAAAATGTAAAGGAAGAGTCAAGTTATACGGAGTGTATGTGCTGGATCTGAGAGGTGTCTGGATGCAGAAGATGCCGGAAGGGACTGGCTTTCCAGCTCATGTTCGTGATTATTTTGTGGAATAAAACTGACAATGGCCTTGGAAACCCATAGACTTTCCACTGATCAAGAACTCTCCACACTGATAACATGCTTTAAACCACAGTGGCGCCTCGCAGCACAGATACTTGGGTTCCTCTCCCCGGCTTGGCCATTGGTAGGACATGATCCATATTTAAAAAAAACCATGTCTAATACGTTGTTGTCTAATAGATATTATCTAATGTACAGTTATGGTTGGGAAACATTGAATTAGATTTCAGTGTAACCTACCAAGAAGTGTAGGACTTCAACCCACAGGTTATGGAATATGACTTAACTTTTGTCATTATCTAGGAAGAAAAATTAAGGGAAAAAGCCACTGAAGATTGCAAAAGAACTTTGAACACTTTCTCTATTTAAGACCAAGGCAACTTGGTTGTTCTGTTAATCCATGTCACCTGCCAGTGATATCGTAGGAGATACCAGAAACAGATTCAAGAATCTGTGAAATTAGCAGAATCTGGTTTGATAGGCTCAAGTTCATTTTACCATAAGTCAACTGATAAATTTTGTCTTAAAGTTATTGCTTTTATTGGGTAGTGTCTAACCTGTGGCAAATGCTTAAAAATATCGGTTAAATAATGAAATAAATAAGCACAGTGACCACCCATTTTAATGCTTAATACATAATTCATGGTGGCTTTATTGTTTCTTGTACACATTAGAACACCTGTTATGAAGGGGTGGAATATTTGATGCAAAGGTGTGAAAATTTAATCTCTCAAAGTATTTTCACAGAGTTGAAAGTGGTTAGTCTCAGATAACATTTAAATTCTCTTGATCCCTAACTTCTTGGATGGGAAGGGAAATTGGATGTATTTGAAGCTTTTCAGATCTTACATTCTATTCATAACATTTGAACAACCAAACAAGAATGGATTGAATACCATGGTTATAGTGTATTCATTTCCCTTTGGACCAAGAAATCCAAAGCTACAAGTTTGAAAGATCCTAAATGTTTCTCTGCATTTTGGAAAGCTTGATAATTTTTATCTACCACGTCAAATTGTGGGCTTTAAGATGCAATAATTTGTCAACTAAAACAAAAATCAGACATTCAAGTTAATGTGAGGGAGGTAGACCAGATATCTAGATCTAAGATTTGCATGTGAACAGAGATTACAAATGCATTCCCCATTCCCATCGATTCAGGATGAATATTTATAAAATTATGCTCTATGGTAAAGATGTTACAGAAGGAAGTAAGTGGTTGTGGCGCTCATAGGTCTGGCTATGTGCCCAAGATGGAAGCTGGTGGTTTGTGCTTATTCAGATAGCAGTGTGTGTCATATGTGTTATACACTAGATAATTAGAAGACTAAAAAGATACCACCATGTTTTTTTGTTTTTGTTTTTGTTTTTTCAAGACAGGGTTTCTCTTTGTAACTGCCCTAGTTGCCCTAGAACTAGCTCTTCTAGACCAGGCTAGCCTCAGACTCACAGCAATCCATCTGCCTCTGCCTCCCGAGTGTTGGGATTAAAGGCAAGAGCCACCACCGCTTGGCCAACATACCATCACTTAAAAATCAGAAAGTTTTACATTTTTAAAAATATTGTTCTCTCTAAAATGGCTGGGTCTTTTTTCTGTATTCTCCACTTCTTCTTGGCAATAACAGGGTTGAAATGTGTCTGATCCCTTCAAATGGGACAGGTACTCTCAGGATAACCCACTTTACTGGGATAGCAGAGAGTATTTTTTATGATTGACCCTCAGTGTACAAGGTTGTGTCTTTGGCAGAATGTGATAGTTAGCACGGACAGTGTCCTCTTGGCCACATGTGACTTGATATACACAGTATATTCTTGATGCTTTAGCTCAATTCTTCTACATAATAAAACTCGAGCCATCCAATCCAGTCTTCCCCCTTCCCTTTCCATGACTACCATATTTGGGGACGTTCTCTTATCTGTCTTCAAAAGATGAACACGATGTTTTAGATGGAATAGTTTTATTAGTAAATACTCTAGGATAATATATGCAAAACAGGCTATAATGTATATAATAATCTTGTGGCTATTGTGACAAATTACCACAAACTGAGCAGGTTAAACCAAGAGACTTTATTTTCTTAGTTTGGAGAGCAAGAGTTAAAGCTTTGCTGAAGGTTCTGAGGGAGAATTTATCCAATGCGTGTTTAGCTTTTGGTAGCAATTCTTGCCATTCCTTTACTATTAGAAACACCTCTTTAACTGTGTCTCTCCCATCTCGTGGCATTCTTCTATATCTGTATCTCTGTTTCTCTTCTTATAAGGACACTAGCCATATTGAATTAAGGACAACCTCGGTGACCTCTTCTTGACTCTTATGTGTAAAGAGTCTTTTTCCAATTAAGGGCAGATTCACAGCTACTGAAGTTCAGGGCTTGAATATAATTTCTAGAGGATGTAATTAATTTGGTCATGCTGTCACAGACTCAATGTCTTTTTGCAAGTTCCTCTTCAGTTCTCAAAATTAGCCTGCAGAGCACTCAACCCGAGGAGATTCCGAAGCCCTGGAAATTTCTCTTTTTCTACACTCCTTCCGCCACTGAAGATCTCCTTTTATGTCACTGCTATCTGACAAGACATGTCATTAAATACATCTGCACTATGAATGCTAAACTATTTTTTAACACTTTAAATTTTATTTTTGTCTAATTAAAGATTCATAAAAATTACAGCAAGTGAACGGTGGATTTTAGTTTATTTTTTCAAATTTTGTTGTTTTCATTGTGTGCTTTTCCATTTTTATATTTAAGAACGATTCTTTCATATAAGCATTGACTTTACAATGTAATAATGTCAATATTTAATGTTTATTTTCTACACACCAACTATGTTCTACATTACATACACTGTCGAGTCTGTGCTTTGTCATTTCTCAAGAGGTAGTTGTAATTCTCCATATTTTATGAGAGTCTGAGAATGTGTAAATTAAAGAGAAATTTCCCAGGTTTCTGAGCTGTAAATTGCCAAAAAACCATGACTCACACCTAGCTCCAAGTTGAACTGCTTTCACTGATTTCTCATACTATTCTGAGATGAGAATAACATATCTATAGGTCAAAATTTATGTTTTTATTTATGCAAAATACATAATTGTAAAAAGATTGAATTTGGTAATTAGATAAAATAAGCTTTGTCCATTCTCTTGCCCCTTCAAAAAGTTCTTATCCCTAAAAGGATCTCAATTGCTTTCAAACTATAATTCTAAAATTGTGTGCAAGTGTGTGCGTGTGTGCATGCACGTGCACGCACACACAAATACACATACACACACACACACACATGCTCCCCTATATTGTCCACAGAGACTATTCTTCTCTTTTTGCTTTTTATCTCTATAACTCCCCCATTACTTTTGGCCAAGAGGTCAGAGTTGCTTCTTAACGATCTCTTTAAGCCACCTTCACCCTGTCTCCCCCAAGCCACCATTGTCTGTAGCAGGGAAAGCTGGTACTGCCCTGACTGTGGCTCTCTGACTATTGAAGGCTCTCTCACATGTACCCTCTCCTTGGTCTGGGACTAGCCAAGCTGCTTAGGATGACTGGCTATTGATCTCCGGAGAGCCACCTATCTCCGATTCCACAACATTAGACTTACAAATGTGCCTCTGTGTGTGTGTGTGTGTATGTGTGTGTGCGTGTGTGTGTCTGTCTGTCTGTCTATAAAATGGGTTCTGAGATATCCAGCTCAGATCTCATGTATGCAAGGCAAACTCTTTCCTGAATGAGCCACCTCCCCAGCCCTCTTAGGCACCTTTGTGCAATGTGTTTTTTCACCTTGCTAATGCATCTAAAGAAGTGTCTTTACCACCGGACTTGTGCTTTGGGATTGAGAGTCTGGGCTGAAGTTCTAACTCTGTTCATTAGTATTTATGTGAACTTGGACCAGCTACCTGCTCTAATGTATGTTGGCTTCTTGGAGTATTGTAAGAACTGGTTACAAAATGGGTGGCTTAGAAAAACATAAATTAGTTCATTCCATTCTGGAGGCTAGGAGTCCCAAATCAAGGTGTCTGCCTGGGCATGCCTCCCCTGAAAGCTCTAGAGAAGGTCTGCTTCTTCGTTTTAGTAGCTCCTTGTGTACTTAGGCTCCTAATCCCTGTCTCCATCTTCCCTGGGCTTCACCTTTGCCTGTGTCTCCATGAGGCATGCTCTCGTGTGTCTCAGTTTTATAAGGATAAACAAAATGAACCCTAATTCAGAATGACTTCTTTAATTATATTTTTAGAAACTTTGTCCTCAAACGAGGCCACATGTGCACATATTGGAGGTCACAAGCACAGGTGTACAGAACTTCAACACAGCATTTTATTTGCGGTGGGAAGCACTTATAAGCTTCAATCTAGTGTTCTTACTATAAAATGGAGATAAGAATGGTTTCATCTAGCTGTGGCTCTTGCAAGGATTAAGTGGCAACTGTGTTCAGGGCGTCATATAGCATCTGCTACATGCTTCGGTGTTCTCAGCCCTTTATATCTGCCTCCACGCTCCACACTCTTCCCACCGCTTTCCCTCTCGTGTAGAGACCCCAGTTCCTGTGACGGTCATGCGTGTTTGCTCAGGTTTGAAACAGAAAAAACACACAAAGTCATCTATAACTCAATCCCTGCCTCCTTCCATTAATCTAGATGATGCTTTTGAAGTGATTCTTTCCAACTAACGTCTTTCCCTTTTACAGGATGTGTAGAAGGGACTCCTAGTCCAACGACAGGTAAAGGACTACTTTACACTCCTCACCCATACATAATCCCCAACTCTCCTGCGAGCACAGTTTCTTTCGAAGAAGAAATTCATGGAGAAGCCCGTCCTTGCCTGACATCATCCAGTGAAACGGAAGAAGACGATTTGCTCTCTCCTGTCAAAGAAGGAAGGCAGAAACGACTTAGAGGACCGCTGAAGCATGCCTGGACCAGCCCATTTCTGGAAAAGCAAGCTGAAGATAAGCCTCTTAAACGATCACACTCAGTGAATACCATTTCCCTGGAAGCTGCAGGTAGACACATACCACTTCAGAACCATCCCTTGGACAACTCCAAGGGAGATTCTGGTAGGTATCACATTGTGGTTTCTAACTTCTCTTGTCTTAATTTGTCACTTTCTGGTTTTAACTTCAATTTAACAAAACCGCTGGTTACTGAATCAACGGGGAGCCATATTCTAGAAGCATGATAAGAGCTTTATCAGTGAGACGTTAGGATATTTGTTGACTCTACATTTGAGGGGGGTATCAGATGTGTATCGATGACAAGTTATTGGTCAGTTAGGTATTGCACCAAACAGTAGTGGCGACATCATATATGTTAAACTGTTATCCTAAGATAGACTCCATGCTGAGCATTTTCTGTCTTATTACAAAACCAACATATAACATTTAGGCAGCTATACTCCCCAATTTACAAATAAAGTAGCTGTGAATGAATAGGATAGGGTAATATGTATGATAATTAAATGTTTCAACTTCAGCTATCTTAGTAGGGAAGATAAAAGTAAGGGCACGGAGGATAGGGAAAAGTTCAGTGGCTAAGGTACTTCAAAGACCTGAGTTGGAAGCTCTAGAATCCATGTAAACTGGGCATATGAGCACATGTCGCGAACCCCAGTATTTCAAGAATGAGAAGTATTCTTGAAGTGATAGGGGAAACACGAGGACCCTTGGAAGTTCATCAATGTAGGCAGTGATGAGTGGTACCAAACATACAGAGAGACTGTCTCAAGCCAGTGAAGTTGTCTGCTGACCCTCACACATATGCTGTTGGACGCACATGTCTGTGTCCACCCATGCATGTGTGTACAGCACAATGTGGTAGGCACACATGCACAAACATATTCATCTGCACCCACAGCGATTTTAAATGGAGTAAAAGAAAGGGGTTTTGGAACAGAAGACCTTGGCTCAGATCTCGGCTCTCTCCCACATCAATTTTGTAGCCATGATACAGTTCCATGGGTGCCTTTTGAGCTTGGTCTTTTCCTCCATAAATCAAGGATAATTAGTGCTATGAAGTGTACTTGTAATTAGAGGGCTCATTTCAAAAGTTCCCTAAACATGGTAGAGAATCTATGACGTTGGTATCTGGGAAATGTTATGTAGAAGGATTGGGTTGGTGTTATGGAGCCTTCTTGTAACGGAGTTGTTGTTGTTGTTTTTCCAGTGTGGAGAGTTTTCATTCCAAATGCCAACACATGTTCTGTTGATCTGTAGACACCATGTCAGAGAATCTTTTACTTCTAGGATGCTGGACCTAATGATGGGATGCAGATTATACGAGTCAGTTAACACCTTAGAAAAACTTTATGTGCATATGTGCGTGTCTGTGTGTGTGTGTGTGTGTGTGTGTGTGTGTGTGTATCTATGTAGGTGTGTGTGGAGGTCAGAGGACAACCTCCTATCTCATTCTTAGGAGTCTGCCTCCTTTTGAGATAGGGTTCATTGGACTGCATCTTCCTAATTAGGTCAGACTGTCTGACCAGAGGATCCCAAGGACCCTCCCATCTCTACCTACTCAACTCTGGGGCTGCAAACATCTGTTCCCACAGCAGGCATTTCCACATGCTCTCTGGGGATCTTACTCAGGTCCTCATGCTTGTGAGGCAAGCGGTCCATCCACTGAGCCATCTCTCCAGCTTTGAGTCTTTCTCTGTGTATGGCAACGTACCAACATGAGCATACACCTTCCGCTCTCATCCATTTGACCTTTCCACAGGGACAGAAAATGTTGCTTTCTCATCATTTGGAAGCAGAATTGGAGGCCTATTGGGGTTCTGTTATTGTAGGGTTGAAGTTAGGATTCGAACCTCCAACCCTGACTCCAGCTCAGAACATCTTCGGCTGATGAGTTAACAGGGCAATGAGGGTTCTCCGGCCTGAAGCACTTTCCAAGTTCTCAATTCTAAGCACTTTGCTGTGGTCCTTCCCTCGGACATTTAACCAGTTTGTTTCTCCATGGTCTAGTCTTTAGTTGAGTATGCACATTTGGTCTTTCCTAGTCTCTTTTCTTGCTTTATTTGTCTCTTAGGATTTATCACCAAATTGAGACTTCTGAGCTTACTATTTCTTATTCATGAGTCAGCTCCCTTCTCCTTTTCCTCTCCCCCCACCCCCGCCACAAAGAGACCATAGGCTGTGTAGGGGCAGAGATAAATGCTCTCCTTATCCTCTTCTGTGTCCCTAATGTCTCTAATGCTGTTGGGCACCTACCAGCTTCTCACAGGTGAGCCAAAGCATAAATGAATAAACACATTGATTTTCATCGGCATCACGTGACACAGACAGCAAACGCTCCATGTTCCCAGTGAGAGCAAAGACGCTTAGGACAGCTGATGTTTCGGGATTGGACTCTGAGGGCCCAGATTTTGCTAGGCCACCTGTCACCTGTTGCTGGTCAAATGTCCCGTGGTGATTGCTGTGCTATTCCAAAGGAAAGAATGTCCGTGTTCTAGTGTAAGAGATAGGATAGCATGTTCGACCTAGGTCATGCCCGATTGTGCTAAATTCCAGAATTTCCGCAGATTCTTCATGCCCAGAATATGGACAATAATTCAGCGACTCATATACAAGGGCTGGAAGTCCATATTGATAGGTGTTATGAGAATTTTGTCAAGGACCAAGTTTGGAAGTTTTCACTCAATCAGACATTTGGCAGTGTTCCATTTTTATGTCCAGGAATAACTCGTACTTTGGATCAGCCAGGTTCCCTAAACTGTTCTTGTTTGGTTTGTCTGTTTGACAGGTATATTGAGTGCACAGCGGAAGATACTCAGTATCTACCAGGCACAGAGCAATGTGGTGGGAATTTAGTTTAACTCCTCAGAAACACATTGGCTGTGTGATGCCCAGTGTAAGGAGGATTCTAATTTGATACAGTTTTGAACTTGGGAAAGAATTCTGTGGCTGTTTGAAAGGTTTGGGGAATTTCCCCATTACTAAGAAGCCCATTAGAGAGTTGCAGGAAATGATTTCAAGTGTGTAAATTATCTTAATTTATTACTGATGGAACAGACCTCTAATGTGTGTGGGTCAATGTGCAGAATTTCTCAAATAAAAATGGAAGACCATATGCATAAAATGTAACTAGAATTGCAACAATGGGGAAAGAATAGAAATTAAACTGGATATTAATGTCAGCGGGAGAGTGTATGCTGGGTAGGCTCATTTTGGGGAGTTATCTACTTTTTGCATTTCAGCTGGTTTTATAAATTCTAAGGAAATTCATGATGTAGCTAACTTTTGGATTTGCTTTCAGATCATCAGCAGTCAGTCTGGGCAGGCCGTTGACCCTTTCTAGCATATCTAACATGATTCAATAATTTTCTTTTTATAAACTTCCCAGAATTAGAAGCTGGTGCCCGGCTTTAGTCACCAAGCCCCTCTCTTTCCCTCCGAAGGTTTGGACAGGCTTCTTTGAAACCGTTCTTGTACACGGGAGCCTCTTCCTAGGGCCAGCAAAGGAATAGTCAGCATTTGGATTGTGTGACGGGGTGGTCAGGGGATTTTCTTTTCTCTCTCCAACCAAGCCGCTGTCCTGTGGTCCTTGTCCAGGCTGGAGTTCGACTACCACTCTGCTTTGCCTTCCAGGTCCTGTGTTGAGACCTTCCACCGCCATTGGCCTCTGCAGAAGCGTCAAGCAGAGCTGCTCTTCCCCTCAGATCAGCTGTAGGACTTCCTCGGAATCTGGGCAGCAGGATAAAGTGTCATTCTTGGGCTCCTGGTCAAACACAGATTCCCTAAGCATACGTGGAAGAGGCTTGGCTGCCATAACACCAGAGGTGACCACCAAGCATCCTCATCGCTCTACAGAACGTAGGTCAAAGGCAGCTAGCGCCTTCCGTGGCCATGCAGCCAAGGAGCCCCTGCCTCTGCTCGTGGGATCTTCTACCCATTTGTTTCCCAAGAAGTTAATGAAGGTTTGCTCCTCAGCAGCCCCACGCCCACCCCGGCGCTTCCATAAGGCTTGTTCACAAACTCTTTCCAGGCCGGTGGTGACTGCTCACTTACACTGACCGCTGAGAAGGAATTGTTCTGTGAGCGCTGCCCATCTTCCAATCAATGCCTGCCCAGAACAACAGAAAGGGCCTCAGATGGATTGGTTTCCACGGAACCATTGTCAGGCTTTGTGAAGCATTTTTGAACCTAATAAATAATGTCAAAAGTCTCTGTCGCGGCCAAAAATGTTCTTTTTGAAGCATTTGTAATGGTATTTTTGTTCTGCAGTGTCTCCCACTGTTACAAAGAATCCACGCCGCACAATGGGGATCGGGTGCACCGCGTGCCACTTTGCAGCGCGGCCTGCTGGGATCTGAAGGTTGGGCCTTTGTTTTGCTGTTACAGGTAAAAAGGTTTCATTTGCCAGCTTCTGCTTAGGGCTAAGGATAGTTTCTAAGGGCCTTCAGGATGGCTGCGTAGACATTTGGAAAACATAATTGAATGTCTGTAATTTAATAGTTAAAACATGAAATTTGATTACACCAGAAATGCCCAGGGAAATTCTTCAGGCTATGTGGAGGGTTTTGTGTCAGAAACCTGAAGCCAGATCCTAGCCGGAGGCTTTGAAACCCTTGGAAGTAAGCTTAATTTTTTTTTTTTTTAAAGGAGATGATTCCAAAGTTTCTCATTTGCGATAGAAAAGTCTGGCAACTCAGGGAATGGACTATCAAACTGGTCATTCTAAATAACACATTTAAATTGCTTTTCGGGGTAACTTACCAGACTTACATGCCTACGTTCAACACTATATAGTGTTGATAGCTTTATCAGTGAATTGACAGAATAGCATTTGTTTCTTTCAGTGTTCATGGAGAAATAGGAACCAGACTTGCAGTTTCCCCTCAGGGCTGACCTTGGAAAGCTAGATGCACAGAGATTAGAAAGACTAGCTGCATTCATATTTTCCCTTTGGCTCAATATAATATGTGCGCCTATATGCAGGTAGAAGTATGCCTACATTTGAGTCATCATACCTCATGTTTAAGTCTCAGATTTTATTTTTTAAGAATTTTTTAAAAAATTTGTGAGTATGAGTGTTTGCCTGCATGTATGTATGTGCGTCACATGTGTGCCTGTTATCCGTGGAGGTTGGAAGAGAACATGGGATACCTTGGAACTGGGATTGCTGGGGTTGCAAACCGCCCTGTGGGAATTGAACTCAGGTCCTCTGTAAGAGCAGCTGGTGCTCTTAACTGCTGACCTTCTCTCCAGCACCACAGGTCTCAGAGTTTCAACAGGAGTGCAGCGTGGGTCTAAGAAAACTGCATGACATTTAAGAATCGGTTTAGATGCCTGAAAGTTATTCAGTCTATAAAAATTGTATTTCCTCTGAGTAAGAAGCTTCAGAAAAAAAGTGGTATACCCAAACTCTAAAGCTTTTCCAATTATGATTTTTACAGTGCGATGCTTGCCTTATTATCTGCTATGAGCATGGTTTATTATAATAGAGCATGCAGACCGCATCCCAAGCATCAGGTCATCAAAGTTCATGTGACAACTACAAGTTCAACCTCATGCCCTTTGACTGGAGAGTAGTGTGTAGATACACTGACGGGTTTATATATAGAATCTGGGGTATTTTAACATGGGATTTAATTATGTGTAGCACACAGTGTTATCAAAGCGTAACATTGCCCAAGGAGATTAAAAAAAATCAACTAAAATTCATGATAACTGATGCTGAAACAGAAACTGGACTTGACAAGGTAGAGAGATTTTCTACCTACTGAGGTGCAAATATGTGAATTTATCTGAAAGTTCAATGGATAAAAGGCAGTTCTGTCCAGATGGAGAAAAAGGTTATAGCAAATGATGCTAATATGTGCGTATTGCAGTTGGAAGCAGCTTCCCAAATCCAGTCCCTGGGATGCTAGGACTAGAAGATTGTGGCATGGCGTGGAGAGACTGTAGCCAAGTCTCCGAGGGTGGCTCACTGTGATCCCTCTCAGGGGACCACACTAATGTGCTGGACCCTAGATAAATTTCACAATAAAGACTCATGTACCCATTTATCAGAGACCCTTGGAAATGTGTACACGTATGTTTGTTTTGAGACAGGGTTTCTTTACATAGCCTTGACTATACTGAAACTCACTATATAGACCAGGCTGACCTTAAAGTCATAGATATCCTCCTGTGGGCCGACAGTATAGGTAATCACGTCTGGCTGAACCTTACGTTTAGCAAAGTTCAGCTTCAAGAATGGCAGTTGACCATCTCCAAGTGAGATCTCTTAGCTAACTCTCTATAAAAGACTTGAGATTTCATGCAGAGGAGAAAGAACAAGGCCATTCTTAAAACTTTGTTTTTATTTGATGTGTATGGGTGTGTGGATGGCACATGTCTGTGCACTGCATGCAGTGTGTGCAGAGGCCAGAGAAGAGCACTGGATCATGGGGAACCAGAGTTACACACAGGCCTTAACTACCACGAGTGTCCTGAGAATTGAACCTGGGTTCTCTGGAAGAACAGCCAGGGCTCTTAACCGTGGATCCATCTCTTCAGCCCTAAGGCAATGTTATTTGTAACTACAAATGTATGTTGAAGATTTGAAGTAATGAAGGGCTGAAAAAGAGGTCAGGGAATGAAATTAGAAATCCTTCAGAATTCTTAAGACATCCCTTTTTCACAGTATGAGGTCTTTTGTGAAATACGATCCTCCTTGTTAACTCTGTTACATATCCCAACTTCCTTTTTGCTCCAGGGTTAGGCCCTCACTCCTTCTCTCTCCCATCCCCCAACCTGTATTTTTCACTCCTTGAAATCAATCTGATTTTGAAACTTAGGAACTCGGGATCCACCCTGAAGAGCTGGTGAAACCCTGATTGGGCACTTAACCATTTTAGAGAGTCCTGGTAATGGCTTTGAGATCTGAGTCGATCCAATCAATGCTGATCCTTCTCATGTCCTTGGGTCTGCTCTGCTAATTTTGATTAAAAGTGAATCAGTCCTTCGCCTTGACAAACTAGAGACCAAGTATGAGAATTAGTTCTTTCATTCATTATAAAATTAACTGAATGCCTACTATGTGCTAATTATTTATTTATTCTTAATATAGCAGTGAAAATCCACTTTGGCCAAGTAAGCCTTAATAACGCGTCCTGTGTAATAATAACTCAATTGCATTCAGGTTAATAGTCTTTTAGAAGCTGTCTTGAAATCTTAATTCTTCAAAAGTTTAAAGTTCACTGGTCAGTGATGGAGCAAACCAAACAGCCTGTTTATCTCAGTCATGGATTTTGATGAAGATATCTCAATATATTTTGTTGGCAGTAGTATCGCCTTGAACCCCGGCTGTATGGTGTTAAACAAAGCTGATGAGCCACCATGACTTGAGGTATAGTTTATGGGCATAATAGTACCCCAAATCCTAAACTCCAAGCTCAGTTTACCCAGAAGATTTTTGAAGGAGGATTTTGAAGCTTTATTGTGAATTAGATGCAGCGGCGACTCAGGTCATTTGAATTAGAATAATTACATAAGGCTCCCGGTGGTGGAGCTTGAACTTAATTTTGGGTAGTGAAAGATTTGGGGGAACACTCACACCCTAGTTTAAAGAGTGGGAGGTACCAGCCAGGGGCCAATGTTTGTGCATACAAAGGTGTATTTCTGAATAGACAGCCTTATGGAAAAGAATGCAAGAGTAAGGGGAACATTTCAAAGGAAGGGCCCTGAATTAGGGCTCATTGGATGCTTTGGAAATCCACTCCTGAGCAAGAATAGGGCATAGTTAACTTTTTTAAAAAATGAAACGACATCTACTCAAAGATCTATAAATACACGTGTCGACACATGTGGGAGGGGAAGAAGGAAGGAGCCGGCGTCCTGTGGGAAGATACATTTGTTTACAACTTTGAAAATTGATAACCAAAGCAAGTCATCTTTAAAAGTAAATGTAGGCATAGAATGGGTAGTCCACATAATCTGTAAAGAATGAAGCGGGGCAGTGGTGGCGCACACCTTTAATCCCAGCACTCGGGAGGCAGAGGCAGGTGAATCTCTATGAGTTCGAGGCCAGTCTGGTCTACAAGAGCTAGTTCCAGGAGAGGCTCCAAAGCTACAGAGAAACCCTATCACAAAAAAAACAACAGGACAAACAAAAGCAAAAACTAAAACAAACAAAAAAGGATGAAGCTAGCCGTGGGTTTAATCCACATTACTGAAAACATCAGAAGAACAGACTCAGCTGTGAATGTCCTCTGGAAGGAATGGCCTAGCCATCTCAAGTTTCTACACTCGACTGCTAAAGCTTGCAGCTTAAAGTAAGAAGCGCTTAAATGGCAAACTCTTCAACAAAGAGGAAAACATGCATTGTGAACTTTACCTGGATTACTTAGAGGCGGACTGTCTTTAGATTTCAGGGGATGAACTTGAATTTAAAAATATTAAGGTGATTTTATTGTAATTAAAGCACCAATTTCTGTCAGCCAGACCACAATGGCACTCGTTTTCAGTATTCTTTTCAAAAATATTTTATAAACACGTGAAAATAATTCTGATAGTCAAAGATCAGGCCCTTAAGCTGTGCTAGTCACTTCTAATTCCTTCATTGTAATGCCGCTGCTCCCTCCTGGGCTTCCGTTTTTCTTTATAAACCTTAAAATGTTTTTATGTGTATGGTGTTTGCCTGCATGTCTGTCTGTGCATCAGAGGTGTGCCTGGTGCTCAAAGAGTCAGAAGAGGGTGTCCGATCTCCTGGAGCTGGAGCTAAGGCTGGTTGTGAGCTGCTATGCGGGTGCTAGGAATTGAAACCAGGTTCTCTGGAAGAGCAGCCAATGCGCTTAACTGCCGAGCCATCTCTCCAGCTCTTCTCACTTATTTCACGGTTGAAAAGAAACTTCCTGAGGAAGCGTGAGACTGAAAAAGGGAAGCACATAGGTGTGATAAATTAGTTCACCACCTCGAAAGTTCAGTCACTTAGTTTTACTTTGAGAGAAGTTCATTTTGAAGATTGGGATTCCCACTGCCCCACCATCCCACCCTTTGCACACTGGAAGAAACTGAAAATAAGGTTAGGTTACAAGTCCAAAGTCACGTGTGAGGTACAAGGCAGAGCCAGATCACATGCCTTCAGACTGACTCACATCAGCCGCTCTGTTTCTCCCTGTGCTAGCTGCCGTCTGGTCTCTATGTTTTCTAGAAATTGCACAAAAATAATCACTACTGTTC